ATCTCTTCAGCTCTCAATACATACCTGAACGTTTCTTACCTTTGTTTCCACTTTTCATTTGCTGAGCTTGCAGGCATGTGTAGGTGTGAGTGTGTATATGGTGGGGGGTGTATGGTAGAGTGTGGGGGGGTTGTGACGAGGAATGGGGAAGTGTATGGGGACATAGTTTATGTTGCGCGTTGTGTATATATGGGGGGTTGTGGGGGTCAGGTATGGGTGTGTGGCATTTGTGGGGTGTGAGAGAGGGTGGAGGGTGTGGGGATGCCCTTGCACTCCTGCCATGGTGCAGCAGCAGCAGAAGGTGAGGGCACTTACGGTGTTGGTGCCCGGCAGGCCACGGCTCTGGCTAGCACTGCATATTGTGGCAAGGGGTGCAGTTTCCATGGGGCAGTTGGTATTGCTGGTGCTCCCCACCATACAAGTGCACTTGCTCAATATGGGCCCCAGGTGCTGGAGCTGGCTGTCTTCCCCTCTGGAGCTGTGTGGCATGGGAGGGAGCCCCAGGTGCCTTCCCCTGGGAGGCGGAGAAGGCAGCTGACTCCAGAGCCTGGGGCTTCCCTCCTGTGCCAACTGTTCCATGGCAGGGACTGCCGTGATACAAACTGCCCAGCAGAGGCTGCACCCCTCACCGTGATGGGCAGCACTGCCGGAACTGAACCTCGCCCGGCACCAGTGCCCTGAGTGCCCTCTCCTGCAGCCACTGCCTATAAGGGCTGTGCACTACAATGCGGTTCCCATTTTCAAAAAAGGGAGGAAGGAGGACACAGGAAACTATAGGTCAGTTAGTCTTACCTCGATCCTGGGCAAGCTTTTTGAGAGAATTATCCTGGCGCATGTCCGCGAGGGGCCAGCAGGGGAGATTATGCTAGGGGCAACCAACATGGGATCACTAGAGGCAGGTCCTATCAGACCAACCTGGTGGCCTTCTATGACCAGGTCACAAAATCCTTAGATGCAGGTGTAGCAGCGGACGTAGTCTTTCTGGACTTTAGGAAGGCCTTCGATGCTCTCTCACCCCATTCTCATTAAAAAACTAGGAGACTCTGGCGTTGACACCTACACAGTCAAATGGGTCACTAACTACTTGGAGGGCCACACCCACAGAGTGGTGGTGGACAGGTCATATTCGACCTGAAGGGATGTGGGCCACGGGGTTCCACAGGGCTCGGTCCTCAGGCCTGCACTGTTCAACTTCTTCATTGGCGACTTGGACAAGGGGGTAAAAAGCACCTTGTTCAAATTTGCAGATGACACTAAGATGTGGGTGGAAGTGGGTATGCTAGAAGGGAGGAATAGGCTGCAATTGGACCAAGACAGATTACAGGGGTGGGTGGATGAGAACAGGATGGCTTTCAACACTGACAATTGCAAGGTGATGCACCTGGGGAGGAAGAACCAGCAGCATACCTACAGGCTGGGGAACTCCCTTCTCGTCAGTGCAGAGGCATAAAAGGATCTTGGAGTCATTATTGATGCCAAAATAACATAAACCGACCATGTGGGGACTTGGTCAGGAAGGCCAACCATACATGTGTGGATGCTTGTCCTGCTTCCACACATGCATCACAAGCAGGGCCAAGGAGGTGGTCCTCCCCCTCTATGCGACACTGGTCAGGCCGCAGCTGGAGTACTGTGTCCAGTTCTGGGCGCCGCACTTCAAGAGGGATGTGGACAGCATGGAGAGGGTCCAGAGGAGGGCCACTCGCATGATCAGGGGGCAGCAGGGCAGGCCCTATGAGGAGAGGCTAAGGGACCTGAACCTGTTCAGCCTCCACAAGAGAAGGCTGAGGAGACATCTAGTGGCCATTTACAAACTAGTCAGGGGGGACCAGCAGGCACTGGGGGAGTCCCTGTTCCTCTCAGCACTACCAGGAGTGACTAGAAATAATGGTCACAAGCTGGCAGAGGGTAGATTCAGACTAGACATCAGGAGGAGCTACTTCACTGTCAGGGTGGCTAGGATCTGGAACCAACTTCCAAGAGAAGTGGTGCTGGCTCCTACCCTAGGGGTCTTTAAGAGGAGGCTGGATAAACACCTTGCTGGGGTCATTTGACCCCAGCATTCTTTCCTGCCATGGCAGGGGGTCGGACTTGATGATCTGCTCAAGTCCCTTTCGACCCTACCAACTATGAAACTACGGAGGTAATGTAGGGAGGTCCCCATGGCCCCCCTCCCTCCCGCACACTCTGTCCAGCTGAGCTCTGTGCTGCCACTACCCACCTGGGTGTGGGCTCTGTGCTCCTGCCCAGCTGCAGCTTCACCCCCACTTCTTCTCTACCTGCTGCCAGTGGGAGACCAGGGAAGCAGAGCAGGTCCCTGGGGGCTGCAGAAGTGGCAGCAGCAGCCCACCCAGAAGCTGTGTGCTGAACAGGCTGGGCCCTTCTGCCTGCAATGGTGGAAGTGAGGCATAATAGTGTATATTTGGAGGGTGCATACATGTGGGTGCCTCACTCCCAGCCTTGTTGGCAGAAGGCCTGGGTGAGACGCAATTCCTTGGTGCATGCCGTGGGCTAGATGAAAGTGCCTGACGCACACGGTCTGTATTTTGCCTGCCCCTGGCCTATTGACATATAAATTCTTTATGCTCTTATTCTGATGTTCTAGAGCTTTACTCTCCCTGTCTTGCATATGATTTGCATTTATGAATCAAGGAATTCAACAAAATTTGCATTCAAGATCCAGACCAAGGCATTAAACTGGCAAGAAAATGAACTAGGAACTGGTAGAAGGACCAAATCATACAGGTGATATATTCAAAGCAATGTGGATCAATGAGCAAGCTAGTATCCACGGTTCTTGAAAAGTTGGCACATCTGCATTACCACAGATTGTGGCACAAACCAGCTGCAATGACAGATAAGGATATTCCATAAACTAGAAAATGTTACACATCTATTTGCCTTCCAAAATAGTCAAGGCTTGACAGTAAATATATTACTTATTAACCTACAGTCAGTATGACAACATACTACATTATTCTTTATAAATAAATATATACAATGATTTTAGAAGGCACATTAATTACCTCTCATTTCTCAAAATAAATAAATCAGCAAAACCTGTAAATTTTGTTAGTAGCTGACTAGCAATACAACACTGTTACTGTAATCTTTCAGTATGAGTGTAAGCAGCATTCAGCCTTCATATCTGTTCTTTATTTACGTGTCAGTTTCTCTGGCGAAGGGACTCTTCTACTGCTTGTCCCAGTTCACTTTTCAGTAGGACTCAGATAGCAGTTGGGGTGTCTGGAATGCTACCTTGCTACACGTAAGGAATAATAATATACCTTCATAGGAGTGACAATGTAAACTGCTATTTTATTAATACAGTGGCTTACTTTCTTGACTTCATATTTAATGGCAAGTTTTAAACGGCTGAGACTGGGGCGACCATGTTCACCATTATTATGGGTCATCTCCACATCTCCATTCAAAATAGCTTCCACTTCTTCAGTATTTCTGCATAAATCAAGAAGTCCAACTACAAAATCCTTGCACTGAACAGACAATTTCTTGTAGTCATTCTAGAGAGGTGGGGAAAGAAAAAAGAAATTAGCATCCCTTTCCAGACTACGCGGAAGAAAAAAAATTCAGTTGTTAAATGGCATAATATGATTTTGAATTATTTAGATAGTAATAGGTTTGTCATTATGGTCACATAAGAGAAACAAGAACACCCACAGTACATGCACATAGCCCCTGTCAAATAGCTGTTATTTTTCCACCTTTTTCATGACGTGAATCTGAAAGTACATACAGACAAATGCAGCCATTAAAAATCAGCAGAGTCATGCCAGTTTAATGAAGAAGCGAATTTCACTTACATCAATTTTAAGACGAGAAGAGAGCATTGACTATCTAGCAAGATCTTCCCCACAGTAAATATTACAGAATGTCATTAAGTTCCTACATCAAACCCTTAACAACTTCTTGAGCAATAGCATTTATTTTAGAAAGATACCCAGTCTTGATTTAAACACGAAATAAAAGAGAACCCGTTATATCCTTATGTAAATTATTCTAATGATTAATTCCTCTTAGTGTAAATCAACTGTTCCAGCTTTCTGTTTTGAATCTAACTTTTGCTGCAAACTACTTCATCTTTGTCTGCTAAACTGAACTGTGTTTTATCAGAAATTTTTGCTCCATGGACATATGCATAGCCTTCGAATTGGATAAGATAATACATGGAGCTCCTCTAATCTCTCACCAGAAGGCTGCTTTTTTCAGACCCTTAGTCATGCAGAGCCTTGTTGCACCTGAGGCTGTGAGACTCACAAGTGTTGTTTGGTGTTACTGCTGGCTTGGAATTTGGGGCAGTTACTCCAATAGTCTAGAAACCTTCTCTGTCTCCCACCTGCACAGCTGTGACTTGCCACTAGAGGCCTGGTGAGTAGGGGCAGGGCTAGAAGCTGTAGCGGTAAATTGCCACAAAAGGGCTGGTGAACCAGGACAGGCATCTTTCCGCGCTCTATGGGTGGGGGTCTGAGAGATCCTGGGATACTGGAGGACTTCAGCTTGGGTGGCATGTCTATGGGGAGTGGCCACACCTAAACAGAACAGGAGCTGGGTAGTCCAGATCAGAGGTAATCCTGCCTGAAGTGGCATAACTTTGAGCCACATAACAAGTGCTTAAAACCACTTTAAGGTGTTAATGTGTGGACAATCCAAGGGTTAAGAGTTCCAGGAGCTACCTAAAATTACAGTATAACAAGGCCTTTACACAGTTCTTTTCTGATCCTTTTCCAGTTGCTCATCATCCATGTTTAATAACACCAGAATACATCACAGTATTTCAGAAAGAGTCTCACTCGGATGCATAATGAGAATATTGATTAGTAGTAGGGAGGTCATATTACCCTTTTATTAATTTACATAAGTGGAAGGTTAATGACATGGTCATCTTACCCCCCCAAAAAGGGAAAGAAGGCAAAAAACAGAAACTCACAGAAGGATGTCTGATGTGTGTCAGCTCCTCCAGCTTGTCTACTATTGAAAGCTACCTCTCTGTGTACTAATAAAGTTATACCATATACATAGCTGCTTCCCAGAACCCCTTCCACAGGCACAGGATCCTTTTCAATGTATTCAGTCCTCAGTCCATCAACTTTGATGCTTCCAATAATTATATTACTACTAAAAATTAAGTCATAAAAGAATGAAACTTGGGACTTTGTCCAGAGAGGCGGGAGGACCTCTATGGCTTTTTATCCTGATCACTGCTTTTCATATCTGATTTAATTTTCTATGAGTACTTTATCACCATAACTCATTTTCACTCCTCTCTCCTCTCCTCAGTTAATAAACCCATTCTCAACCTTTTCTCTATTCCTTCCTTCTGAATCTCTCTCTCTCAGGTAGTCATCCTCTGGAAACAGGTGTATCCTGGGAACACCTCTGGGAATATCCCTGAAGGTAGATGACTACCATGGGAATGAAGAACTGGTCCAAGTTTACTTCCTGAGGACATGCCCTCGGATATGCTTGTTTTTCAAAAGCTGGGTACTCCCACACTCCACCACAAAACCAGCATGTTACTCCAATAGATTATCAGGATGATTGCATCCCAGTTTTGCACTGCATTCCAATCAGGTGATTACTCAAACAGCGTAAAAATAGTCACATATAAACTATCACGTCTGCATAAACCTACCTGTAATTCATTTTTTTAAATAATGTCATCTTAGTTTAGACATTGCAGATTTGTCACGAAGTTGCAAGGAATATTAATGCAGTTATCCTACAAAGAAGATGCCAGAAGCCAAGCACTGAAATGAACAATGTCATGACAAGTTGTAGTGCTATGGAAGTGGAAAGCAGATAAACCAATTTTCTCTCTCTCAAAAAAAGATACGAAGATAGTAACAACACTCCCCCCCCATGTTTCTTGCTATGAGATCAATTTTATATATTTGTTTGTTTGTTTGAACAGGATTAGAAATGGATGCTCTGTATTTTCCTTTTGCCTGGAAGTTCCAAGCTAATATTGAAAAAGCTCAGAATCAAAGCCACTTTACACATTTTATCTATCTTGCCTGGGCTAAGGTTATGTCTTTCTTTCTGTCTTAACAAGGCCTTGTGAATTACTCATACTTTGCAATGAAGATGTCAGCTACAGAGCAAAACTTTCTTGAAAAAAACTGAAGAAAAACCCCAATTCAGTACATCAATCAAAGGGATTATAGCATATGTCTGTATCTTCTGGCATTGGCAATGAGTAGGGGGTGCACACTGTTGCATGTGCACCCCGAGATTGGCGATGCACCTCCTGAAAGAAGTGCTGCCGACGCCAGCAGGTGGTTATTGCTCGCTACCCCCTCCCCTCGCTGCTGACACTGCCGGCAGCATCTGTGGGTGGTTGTCAGCTGCCAGTTAGTGCTCACACCCCCTCCCACTGCCGACAATACCATGGCTGCCTGAGGGAGCTCCCTGCTCACTGCTGCCATGTCCCTGCTGCTGACCACCGCCACCTACAGGTGGTCGCCGTGCCCTCCCCGCCACCCAGCCTCTGGGGGCATGTGTCATTCATGTCTTCTGGTGTGATCTATATATACTTTTTATATATCTAGTGATTAACAATTGGCAAAAAAAATTTAAAGTTGCATTTTACAAAGTCTACCATCTTTCGTTATTTTGAAAATTTTATTTTTATCAAAATGAAAATTATATATTCACCTTTAAAAAGCAGCTAGAGAACCACATGTATATTTTGGGGGATGATCTGCTCAGGTCCCTTCCAACCCTAGAAACTATGAAACTATGAAACTATACTACTTGAATTTAGGCTCTGGGTATGGCATTCTGGTGTATTTTAGCATCCAGAAGAGGCTAAGCTTATCTAAGCATTTTGCTTGTGGCAAACACAAAAGAATACCTATTGTCCTACAACACACAGCACCTTCAATCACTAGAGGTACCACCTAAACTGAAGCCCCTTCAGCATATGACAGAAGTAAATGGGTGCCAGTGAATGAGCTCTCTGTTATGGCCATGTGACTTTAGAATGGACACAATCTTAAAAAGCTGAAGTTTGTCAGGGACACTACCTTCTGCTCCCTGTAAGAGCAGGGAATACTGGAAATTAGGGCTGAGGGAATCTAAGGGGCTGGAGAGGATCTGCCTGTATGTATGAAAGAGAGAGAGGGAAAGAGAGAGAGTGAGAGAGCATGTCAGGAAGATGGTAGAGAGGGTTAATTGATTTTAATAATTTATGTTGTTACTTTGTATTTCAGTTGATCAGGAAAAACAACAGGGCTATTTATCTTACTTTATTTTAGAAAATCATCAACAGTGCAGTGTTGGATGCGCACTCTTTTATTACAGCTTGCAAAAACTGCAGATGGGAATAGGGAGCAGTGAGCTAAGATCTCTGTTTTTCTGGTTTAGGTTTCATCTTCTTTTTAATTCAACTTGAGTGCCCAGAAAAGAACTTAGTTCCCAATCATACAAACTGTAAGGTGCTTAACTTTAGTCATACAGGGCACCTATACAAGTGCTCTGGGGCATGGGGAGGTGTGTTTTAATTTAAGCGGCTCTCAGGAGTCGCTGCAGTTAAAACACCTGCAGCTTGTCATGTATTCAGAGCCCTGCATTTCAAAAAGGTGGTGGGGGTGCTTTAACCAAAGCTCATTCGATGAACTTTAGTTTCAGCTCCCCTGATGCCATTTTGAAATTCAGGAAAGCTGAATACATGAGATGCTGCAGCACGCTGGAGCATTCGGAGTAGAACACTCCAGCAGACTCGAATCTGTTGCGAGGCCTTCTATCGAGAACGTGTCAGAGCACGTGTAAAAGTTCCCATAGGTATTAACTTTGACTTCTAAGAGAAGAGTCATGTGTATAAAATTAACACATGAAATTGTGAAGTGTAGACTTTAGAAAGGAAAAGGGTTCTTCATTGTGGGGCTGGGCTTGCCAGAATAACTACCTGTCTGGGCCACTGGGTCTTCGATTCCTGCCTCATACATTTAAATTTTAAACCTTCTTTATTTTCACTAGTTAAAAGTTTGGGGGATTTTGTTCTGTTTTGTAAAATTCAATATTTATCGGAAGACAAAGAAGCTGGAGGTGATACTTCTAATGTAATAAATTAGCATTGTATTGAGTGAATAATACAGCTAGTGCTGTAGGCATGCTTTGGTTGTGGGAGGGGAAAGAATGGGAGCATAGGGGGCACTGTACCTTTGACTCTTTAGAACTGATACCATCCATCCCTCCTGTTACACTACGCAATAGCTATGGGGGGGTGATGAAACCCAAGTGTGTAAGGGCAGATCCCAAGTCATTATACTAGAGAGAATTTCTATGCTGATAGGAGTTTTCCTTTTAACAAACTCCCCAGGAAAAATGGCATGTCTTTCTCCAGGCTAAAGAGTTATTTTATGAGAATTTTAAGAACATTATTATTTATTAGTGGGTGGTAACTACAAGTCAATTATTAATGAAAGCTGAGTCAGGAGTTACTAAAAAGGATTGTCCAGGTGAGCGCTCAGCAACACTTCCTAAAGATAAGTCAAAATGGTCAAGCTTGGGTCTGACATGGGCCAGCACTAAGACCTGACCACTGCCTCTGGCACTGTCTGTGCTGCCCAGCTGTAGTGCAGCATGGGAAAGCTCACCCTCACCATAGAATCATAGAAAGTTAGGGGTGGAAGGGACCTCAGGAGGTCATCTAGTCCAACCTCCTGCTCAAAGCAGAACCAGCCCCAACTAGATCATCACAGTCAAAGCTTTATCTAGCCAGGTCTTAAAAACCTCAAAGGATGGAGCTTCCATCACCTCTCTGGGTAACCTGTTCCAATGTTTTCCTACCCTCCTAGTGAGAAAATTCTTCCTAATATGTAACCTAAACTTCCCTTGCTGCAACTTGAGACCATTATTCCTTGTTCTGTCATCTGCCATCACTGAGAACAGTCCAGCTCCATCCTTTTTCAATCACCCTTCAGGTAGATAAAAGCTGTTATTATATCCCCTCAGAGTCATGTCTTCTCTATACTAAATAAGCCCAGTTCACTCAGCCTTTCCTTAGAAGTCATGTCCCCCAGCCTCTCACCATTTTTGTTGCTCTCCACTGGACTCTCTCCAATTTGTCCACATATTTTCTGTAGTGGGGGGCCCAAAATGGGACACAGTATTCCAGATGTAGCTACACCAGTGCTGAATAGAGGGGGGAAATCACTTTCTTTGCCCTGCTGGCAATACACTCACCAATGCAGCCCAGTATGCCATCAGCCTTCTTGACAACAAGGGCACACTGCTGGCTCATATACAGCTTACTGTCTACTGTAACTCCCAGGTCCTTCCTGCAGAGCTCCTGCCCAGCCAGTCAGCCCCCAGCCTGTACCGATGCATGGGATTGTTCCGTCCTAAGTGAAGAACTTTGCACTTCTCCTTGTTGAACCTCATGAGATCCCTTTTGGCCCAATCCTCCAATTACCTAGGTCACCCTGAATCTTAGCTCTACTCTCCAGTGTATCTACTACTCCCCCCAGCTTGGTGTCATCTGCAAACATACTGAGGGAGCACTGCATGCCATCTTCCAATTTGTTAAAGAACATATTAAACAAAAAATGACTGGACCAAGAGCTGGGGCACTCCACTTGATACCAGCTGCCAACTAGACATCACACCATTGGATTACTACCCTCTGACCCCAAATATCCAGCCAGTTTTCTATCCACTTCACAGTCCATTCATTTATCCTGTACTTCCTTAGCTTCCTGAAAGAATGGTGTGGGAGACTCTATCAAAATCCTTGCTAAAAATCAAGGTACACCACATTCACTGGTTTCCCCACTTCCACAGAGCCAGTTATCTCATCATAGAAGATAATCAGGTTGGTAAGGGAATCAGGTTGTAGGGGACTCCCTGGGAATCCTGCTGTTGCCTGCTGGCAGCAGCTGTCTCCGCAGAGGTGCAAGGCCGCTGTTGCACCACTCCCTGGGGGCCCAGATTGAGGATGCTCAGGGACCTGCAGGCCTAGAGGCAGCTTGTGCCAGAGCTCCCAACCCACCCTGAGCACCCACATGGGGCCCAAGGGTGCCATGGAACCCCACTTCCACAGTGGGTCCGTGCAGGGACATGGCCTCCGGGCAGCTGCAGCAGGAAGGCAGGGAGGGTGCACCGACCCACCCTCAGCCTCTACCCAGAGCCCCAAGCAGCTGGGCTGGCAGAATTGGGGTTTACAGAAGTTGGCGCTAGGCCACAGTGGGGCTGCCTGGCATCCTCAGGCCCAGGGCAGATCAGGACCTCCTGGGACCCACTGAGCAAGTAAGTGGGGAAGTTTGGGCCTGGCCAGGGCTGAGGCCAGAGCAGCTGCTCCCAGCCTGGGTTGCCTGCGGCTGCCACTGAAATAAGCCCACTGCCGCTGGGGCTGTGCTTGGTTGGGGGGTGTGCCCCAGGCCCAAGGCAGCTCCATGGTGACCCTGCTCAGATTGGACATCTTGTGGGGGTCCCCCCTCCCCGGGCACCAGACCCGCTTGTGAGCAGCCTCCTTCCCTGGGCTCCAAACCCTGCACACACACCCACAGCCCCCAACACTTTCACAAATTCTCTCCCCAGACACACGCCACACCCACCCCCCCAACCATTCGAAGTACCTATATGATTTTGACTTTTTCTGCATACAATTCTGAGTTTTTAGCTGTGCGATTAAAACAGTGATTGTGACTAATTTTTTTAATCACGCAAATAATCATGATCACATTTTTAAGCTTGTCTGACAGCCCTGCAAGAATGTTGTGGGACACTGTACCAAAAGCCTTGCTAAAAATCAATGTATAGCACATCCACTGATCTCCCCACTTCTCCACTCCCCCCTATCCCTCCCACTCACAAAATGTAATATTTTTAGTCTTACAGGAGGTCACCATAACTTACCAAGGAGGAAGGATGCAGTAGCAAATATTACTACTTACAAGAAAAATAAAATTTCAATCCAATCACAAGAGCATGTGTGACAGCACCTTGCAATCTGCTGCAGGAGAGGCAGTGCATACATAGGACCAAACCATCAGAATTTAGCCCCTGCTTCCCCCTTGCTTCACAAGGGATGCCAAGTATATCAGCCTCTTTTCTGGAGTAGCTTATTCCCCCAGCTGCCTTGGCCATGGCATAGTTGTATGATAATGTTGCATGATATTACCATACAAGAAGCTGGGTGTGCCTGTTGTCATGGACAAAACAGGATGCCGAGAGACGACATTCCACCACAGAGTTTTACCAACTCCTGACAGAGGACCCTATGGCACAACATTACCATGAACTAAATAAACTCTTAATGAAACTACCTCTGGAAACAAAGGAGGGGATTACTGCTTCCACCTCCTAGGCCAGGCAACTTGGACTTATTATCCAAGATCCACACACCTGGAAACTCAGGATGTGCCACTGACTCTGGTATTAGCACCATCACAAAGGGAGTTTCTGGCTATGTTAACTCTCCCCATATGCCACTGCCAGCTATTTGAAACACACCACAAATTTCTTAAAGAAACTGGATTCCGTTGACAAGCTTCCAGCAAATGTTACATTAGCTACTATGGACGTCACATCTCTGTTTACCAACATCCCCCTCAGGGAGAGATTAAAGGCCATAAAGAACTTTATCCCTGACAGGAAAATTGCTTCAGTAGTTACAGTGCATCAGAGCAGCCTCCCTGCACGTGTATAGGTGTCCTAACATTCATTCACTCACCTGGAACTCCACCAGTGTCATATATCTCAACCCATGTTTACATTGCCCCTCTGCTGTCTATTAAACAAACAGGGTGATCTCTACATGTAAGAATGAATAAATGCCAATCTGATACCAACTGCAGAAAGACTCGAACGCTTTTGGCAGAACACTTTCAGGTTCCCTGGACCTGACCTCAGGATTGCTGTTCTCAGGCACAAACCCCCCCCCCCCCCCAACCCCCCCGTTTAAATGGGAAACTCCAGAAA